TTTTCATGAGTCTGGAGAAAATAACCATTGCATCTTCAAATATTTCTTATTCTTTAGCTTTTTCTGCTACTATTCTAGGATTCCATTTATACATATCTGGGGCAGTTTGATACTATCCCGTAGATCACTGAGACTCTGGTCATTTTAAATTTTTAATTTTTTCTCCCCTATTTTTACAAATTAAGTTCAATTAATTAACATATAGTGTATTATTAGTTTCAGAGGTAGAGGTCTGTGATTCATCAGTCTTACATAACACCCAGTGCTCATCACACCAATGCCCTCCTTAATGCCCATCACCCAGTTACCCCTTCCGCCACCCACCTCCCCTCCAGCAACCCTGTAAGGAAACATAGGACCCTTGTTTCCTATGATTAAGAGAGACTGGTCATTTTTTAAAACATGTTTTTCCCTTTTGTTCAGATTAGATCATTTATATTAATTTTTTATGTTAAATGGGTATTTATTCTTTCACCTCCAATCTACTATTAAGCCCATTTAATAAATTTTTCTTTTCAGTTACTCTTTTTCAAGTCTAGATTTTTTTTTTAATATTTTTTTTCTTTATTTATGATAGTCACACACACAGAGAGAGAGAGGCAGAGACACAGGCAGAGGGAGAACCGGGTCTCCACGATCGCGCCCTGGGCCAAAGGCAGGCACCAAACCGCTGCGCCACCCAAGGATCCCTCAAGTCTAGATTTTTAAAAAATCTCCTGAGATTTCTGATTTATTCTTTGTTGTCGTACTTTCCTTTAAAACCTTTACACATATTTATAATAGCTGCTGTAAAGTTCCTCCCTACTAATTCCAACATCTGGAGTGCTTTCTAGGGATTGCATTTTCTCTCGACTCTGGTCTGTTTTCCCTCATTTCTCACAGAGAATGGATGATACCATGTATGGAATCTGGTTTAAGTCCTCTTCCTTTAAATGGAATCTAGTTTGTTCTGAAAGCCAGTTAAGTTAGTGGCAGAGCATTGTTGCCTTGTCAGGCATGGTGTGTGATTCTCTGTTACAGCAGGTCTAATTCAGTCTTAAATTTAGTTTTGGGGTATATCTTTTTCTCTGGGGCCCACTCCTAAGATGGGGCCTCTGTATGTCTCAGAACTGATGTGTTCAGTGAGCCCCTTTATGCTTGCCCCGTTGGACCTCTGATATTTCTCAGCATTTTATGGCTTCTGGTATTGCTGGCTGCTTGTCTTCCACTTCTGTAGCAGATGGTCTTTGTAGGGTCTTGCTGAAGTTTTCCCTGTGCGCGTGCAGCCCAGCCCTTGGCCAAAGACCTGTAGTGAATGCTCATGCAAACTTGGCATACCTCCCCTTTGCCTAGCTCTCCTTTCAGCTACACCGCCGCCGCCCCCCCACCCCAAGAGTCCAGCTGCTTTCCCAGATCAGTGCAGGTGCTATACCTACCTGAGTTCCATCTCCCTGTCACGTGTCTGAGGATAGAAAGGAGAGATGATCATGGGGACTTGTTTCCTTTCTCCCAAAGATTGTTGTCTTGGACTACTCCATGTCTGAAAACAATTGCCTCGTATTTTGTTTTATCTAGTTGTTTGAGCAGGACAGCCCACCTGGTACCAGTTCCTCTCTCACGGCTAGAAGTGGAAGCTATGTTAGGCATTAAGTTAGTTAAGATGTATACATGTTCTATATAAACAGCAAGTATCTATACAAATATGTGCAAGGGGTGTGATGCTATTTCCATCCTGCAAGGATTTATAATTGTATGGACAAAATAAAGATTGGGCTTTAAATACCAGGCATCCTGCCTATGATTAGATCTCTGAAGCTTCTAGCAGGCAGATTACATAATTTGTCATAAAAGTGGTATGTACATACTTTTCTTCACTTACCTTCTCCCATCCTCACCCCACTAACTGTGTTGTGTTAAAGGCTTTAAATTTTCCTTCCCTTAGGGAGAACTTTCACAGACAGAGAACTCTTCCAAGCCTGTGGAGGGGCAATGTCTATAGGACATCTTTTCTCTGCAGTGTTTAATTTTCCTTCTATAATGGAATGAAGGCCTATTTATTCCAAGATGGTTATTTTGGTACTGTTCCATTCCTGTGGATTATCAGATTTTAAAGTCCTTTGGGCCAGAAATAAAACAGAATCACTTACCCTTGTTTTTTATTTCAGAAATACTGTGGAAGAATGAACTTTATAAGCAGAGGCAACGTTATAAAACAAAAAGAACTTTTAAAACAGTAATCTGCCTTTGATAAGTCTGTTTTATGTGATTAAGAAAAAAAAAATTTGACCTCTAGTCCTGTATCTATCCAGATTCCTGTCCCTCACTCTTCTCTGTCCTACAGGAAACTTTGGTACTCAGACTCTTGGACATCATCAAGACAGTCTGGCTTGTCAGGAGGTCATTGGAACACCAGTCAAAATAGTGCACTGAACACCAGTTCACTTAGTGCAGTGAACGCTGCACTAAGTTCTTTAACATTTGTTACATAAAGAGGCTAAAGTCAGGCTGTGGAAAACTAACTGTAGTCTTGAGCTGATGTAAATTTGAATATTTGTGTGTTTGGGTGTAATGGTGATGTAAATGTGTCATGGACATCTTTGCTTCCTGTGTTTTGGTAGTTGGTCAGGTAGAGATTAAAGGAGGAATCCTGGGGGCATCAGCCTCAAAGAGAAGACAGAGGTCCATTGTATTGGTGTCCTGCTTTTATAAAGTCTCACAGGGCAGTAACACTGTGTCTGGGCAAGTACGTAGTGTTTGGTTCACTGGGATACCAATGTGGTTACATCTGTGGATATTTTCCAAATATGAAATTCTCTCCTTAAAGAAAACACTTTTGAGCTGGAATGATCAGAAATTCAACATTGATTAAAAAAAAAAATTCTCCTCGTTTTCAGTAATTTTGTCTGAATTAACCAAAATTGCTGAGTCCATTTATGAATGGCAAAGAAAGAATAAAATTCTGGTACTCTTTTTCAGAGCAATATTGCTGTCTAGATTTTCACAATGCTGCCCTCCCATAACCCCTTTCATGATCACATTCTGACATGTTTTCATGTAGTGACAGAAAGGAACAGCTAAGAGAAGCTGAGATAACTTTATTTTTCTTTTAAACAGAAGAAAACACATGGGGTTACACTTTTATAAATATCTATAAATATTGAGCGATAGGCAGATTTTCCAAATAAATAAATAAATATTGCCACATGCTAAGGAATGTAGGAAATTGTGGGAACTACCTTGGCTCTGCCAAAGGAAGAACCCCTAACAAATGGCATTGGGTTTGTAAGATTACAACCAGTTTTCTACCAAAGTCCTTTTGGGATGTTACATCTAGTTATCAGTATGGGGGAGCTTCCAGTAGCTTTTAAACAGTATAATATCTCCAACGGGAAGTGAAAACTACCGAGAAAATACTTGCCATGCACTGCTATATAGTAGTATACATAGTTTTAGTGTTCCCAAATAGGAACCAGTCCTGCAAGTTCAGCTTAAAACCATCAGGTGAAGACAGCTGTCCAATGTTCCATAAGTAAAAATGGATCCGTTTCTAAGGCTGGGTGCCTGACGGCAGTGGGAAAAAACAAGTGGACTTAGAAGAAGCTGTTATTTAAATCTACTTTGCTCATTAGCATTTTGCTCTGTAGGTGGCCATCTCAATAGAGGTAGGAACAGGGACTCCCTTATAGAAAGACTCCAAGTCAGGTGGGAAGGCTAGGGAGGGGGAGGCTGAGCATCAGGCCCACCTGTCATGTTGGTAAGTGAGGTTTGGTTTTCCTGGGACTGAAAGCTGTCTTCATGTAAGGCCCCCAGAATTTGCAAGTGGACAGAGACCCAAACATGTCAGCCCAGGCATGTTTAGCCACCTCTGTAGCCAGTGCTGCAGAGCAGTGAGGAGAACATGGTGAACAGCTGGCAGTGCTGTCTTTGTGTAACTCTTACACTTTGGCCCCCTGGGGATTGGGCTGCTTTCCCCCTGAGTGCCACCTCACTTAGATTAAAGGACACAATCTGCTAGTCCGCGGAAAACGGAACCCAGAGCAGCCCGGTTGGTTCAAGACTCCCTTCCTGTAACAGTTTTGGAATTCATCCCAAATACAGTACTACTTAGGCTGGAAGTAGGCTTCATCAAATGCCTCCAAGGGGAGTTTGAATTTATTTCCATTTTAAACATTTATTTCCATTTCCTAGGAGGGGGGGTTTTCATGAGCCTCTGCCAAAGCTCTTCCTCAGGCCAAATTCACTAAAGCCAAAGTCGGGGGCCCATAGACAGGGTTATATCCTGGGCTGCTTGGAAACAGGCAGGGTCATTCTCAGCCTTCCTGCTGCTCTGGCTGCATAGAAGAGGAGAGAGCCTGGCAAGCAGTGCCCACCCTGTCGGGAGGTTGAATTTTCTAGCTTGACTTCTTGCCTCCATTGTCCGAGCATTCTAGTTCATTTTGACCAGCTTACTACCAATCTTTTTGACAGCTCTGCTCCAGATGCTCAAGGAAGAGCAAAGCCTTGAGATTAGGGTTTTTATCAGTTTGCCCAATTCAGCTATTAATGCCCTAAGTCGAGGTTCGCAAACTCGAATGCCAACAGGGTCCAGGCAGGTAACACAAATGTAAGGAGCAGTGGAGAAGCTACTGGTATTTGCTCTTCCTTTCACCCGTTGCTTGGTTTTTAATACTAGGCTGATGAAGAGAGGGAAGAGACACTTCCCCCGGGGGCTAGGGGGAAGGTGGTGGTGGCGGCAGTGGGAGTCCCCGTCTCCTTAATGAGGGCGAAACTGCTAGTGTGTCGTTCTGGGCCTCGCAGTTCGGAAGAGTGGTACAGGTGGGGTGGGGGAAGCTTCGAGATGGCCATTACTGGAGCCTCGAAGGTACATCCTCAGGGGACCTCCTGGTGGACGATGGGGAGAGAAGCCGCCCCGTGCCCGCAGCGCCCCCACCTTCCCTTCCCCGGACTGCAGGGGGCGCGGGCCCCAGGACGGCAGTTAGTTTCCCGAAGGGCAGCTTAGACAGGATCCCTTTCGGGTTTCCCTAGACGAGCTTGGGGGAGGGGCGGCACCTGTCCACGCCCATCCCCCCGGCGTGCGCGTTCACCCTGTTGCCTCTGAGCACCCCCAGCGGGTCGCTGGCGGGCACGCCGTGGTCCTCGGCGCTCGGGAGCTCCTGCGAGCAGGAGGCCGCGGCGGGGGCCAGGCGGGGCCTGGGCTTCAGCACGTGCAGCGGGTCGCGCCCCGAGTCCCCCGAGTCCTCGGCGCTGCGCGTGTGCCGCCGCGGCCTGGGGGTGTTGAAGTGCAGGAGGGGGATCTCGTTCCTCCGGGACAGGAACTGCGAGTAGGGCGGCGGGTTGGTGCCGGGCAGGAAGGCCCTCTTGGCCTGGCCCAGGCTGACGAGGAAGCGGTGCTGCGGGGAGTGGTACACGTCGTAGCCGTTCTCCAGCGTCCGCTGTCGGAACCGGCAGCTCTCCGGGCTGAAGAGGTGCTGAAAGGGAGAGCGCTGGCGTGGGGGGCGGCCCCGGGCCCCGCGCCCCGGGCCCCGGGCCCCGGGCGGGGGGCGGGGGGTGGGGGGGCCGGGCCCGGCTTCCCCCTGGGACTCTACCCGGAGGCGGCCTCTGCCCCTCGCTCCTTTCTGGGGGCAGTGACCCGACCCGCGCCCTCCTGCCCCCATCGCACCCCGACCCCCGCCCGGCCCGAGACCCCGCCGCCCTGCCCTTGGGCGGCTCCGCCGGGCTGCCCCTGGGTCCGGTTTCTGGAGGGGGGCTCATAACTTCATTCACTGCCTTTGCCCCCTCCCTTGGCTGAAAGTTGGCTTGGGTGGAATCCTTACCTGGAGAAAGGAGGAGGGATGGGGCTTGAGGGTACTCAGACCAGAGATAATATCCTTTGGGATTTAGGGCGGGGAACTCTGGCAACAGAGGACCCCGGTTTGAGCCCTCACTCTGCCACTAACTAGTACTGGGTTTCATTGAACACCTGCTAGGACCTTCGCGTGTTGTTTCATTCAAAACCTCAAACTTCCCCGATCTGCTTTACAGATGAGGACTATCTATCTGCCTAAATGTGGCCAACAGATACTTCAGTGTAATGCCTATATTTGTTCCACAGAGGGTTGTCTACTTGTGGCCAGATACTGTCGTAGGTGTTGGGACGCAACAGCAAGCCAAAAAGGAAGTCATTGCTGTCATGGTATTCTTGGTCTGTCTGGTGGTGAGAGGCTCCCGAGATGAGCTGTCCCACTACTGCATGATCTCAAAACTCTTTAGAATATGCCTGCAACCTGTCGTTTGGGAAATCCTTTGCTCGCCAGCCTGAATGACCAGCGGCCACAGTTGGGGACAGAGATCATTCAGGAGAGATCTTTAACTGGAGGGAGATCCCACGTTACTTTTTCCAGGTGGGGAGACCAAAGTGGAGAGAAGTGAGGGGACCAGCACAAGGTCAAGAAGGTCTAGTAAAAGAATCAGGAAGACACCAATGGCTTCTCACTAGGGGACCTACATACAAGGTGCTGTGTAGATATACAAATGGGTTCCCATAGGCAGTCAGACTAGAGGTGAAGAGCCCAGGCTCCAGAACCAGACTACTTGGGTTCAGACCCCAGCTGTATAAACCTGAGCATCTATTACTTAGATTAACTAAATCACTCAGTGAAAACATCACCAAGCACTGCCAATAAAACCTTTGTATAATTTCATGTTCTGGCAAAGAAATGAATTATCTTTACATGGTGACCAGCACAAAAAAGAAACTCACTGATCCAAAGATGTTGCCTCTGAAGTCCATACAGAGGTACCTCCTACTCATCACACCTGTTATCACCACAAAGCCGGCATCCTCTGACCGGATCATCAAGGCACCTATGGAGAAAATCTTCCAGGTCAAAAACTGGTTGCACATCCAAGTCCTATCTTTGAGCACTTCCTGAAAATTCACCTCCCCTGATTGATTTTAAAGGCAGTGATGATTTTGCTTCACCCTCCCTTGTACTTACTTGTTCAGCTTCCTTTCTTCTGATTGTGCCCTCTAAACTCCCACTCCCACTCTCCTCCATCCTCCATTTGCCTCCTACTTCCTCCTCTTGTTTGTATGAAGCACTCTTAACTCCCAGCATTCTTTCTCCTGTGCTCGACACATGTTCCTCTCTCAGCCTGCACTGTCTTTACTTCCACCGTTGCCTAGCTAATACCTCCTAATGTTTGTGGTTGATCATCACGTTCTCCCAAGCCTCCTCGGCTTTTGTAGTTTTCAAATCTACACCAAGAGATGTCTTTCAAGGGTCCGGCTTGCTCCACTCTGATATCTGTATAATAGTCAGTTATCCATCACCCAACACCCATTTTGTATCAAGAACCATGTTAGAATTGATCTTCCCCTCCCTTCTCTGTTTATTGAAGTCTCTCATCCTTCCAGGCTACGCTCACTTTCTTTGAAGACTTTCCTAATCTCCATAATCAGAACTAATGCTCTCACCTTTATTACAGCATGCATTTCATTCACCTTGCCTTAACTAAGCTTACATTATCTAGCGTCTCTTCTAGAGTGAGCTGCTTAGGAGCAGAGGGTTTATTTTTCTGTGTAGAATAGATACTATGGATGCACAGAATTTCTTCTTGGATCTTCCATTGCTGCTCTTTGTCCTTTCCTTGTTTGATGGTGTCCCCTCCAGTGTGGTCCCTCATGGTCTTTCAGTGTCCCCATTCAACAACCAGTCTCCAACAAGGGCCTAAAATCCACACATACTACCCTCACTTGAAATAATTAATAACTGCCTGCCTTCATGGGGACTTGGCACTTTTAACAATTGCAATGCATTGTACCAAGGACTAAAGTCTAAAGCTTTCTGTTTTGTGGCAAGAGTATCATTCAGCAAGAGTTCCACCCCAAATGCTGTTTAATTACCTGACATTTTCTGCTAAAAAATAATTTCTTATTTATTTATTTATGTATTTATGTATTTATGTATTTATGTATTTATGTATTTATTTATTTATTTATTTATTTATTTATTTATTTATGAGAATACACAGAGAGGAGAGAGAGAGAGAGAGAGAGAGAGAGAGAGAGAGAGAGGCAGAGACACAGGCAGAGGGAGAAGCAGACTCCATGCAGGGAGCCTGACGTGGAACTCGATCCCGGGTCTCCAGGATCATGCCCCGGGCTGTAGGGCCACTGAGCCACCAGGGCTGCCCTAAAAATCATTTCTTTAAGTCTTTGGAATCACTTGCATTCACTTACCCCAGAATTTCCATGTGTATCTCCTTTGGCCTCACAGCCCCGGCAGGTGTTCAAATTTCTATTCTAGAAATGTAGTGTGGAGAGGTTGTAAATGCCTAGCACCGTGTCCAGGAAGTGGGGGAGCCTCATGGGATGACTTATACCTGTCTCCCCCTTTTACCCTGTGTAGGCCCTGAGGAGAGTACCAGACAATACTTAGACACTAGCTTCATAGGGACTGAAATTGGAATGATGTGAGACAGAGGGAATGAGGGTGGGAGCAAGCCAGAAAGAAGAGAAAGCAAGAAGGCCAAGGAGAAACATTCATTTGTTCCAAGTTTGACTAAGAGCTAGCCTTAAGGAAAGCTTCTGGAAGTGGGGTGGAGTATAGGAGGCACAGGGGATATTTAAATTACCCTGTAATGAGGTCTACCCATGGGTCTCATATATATGGCTAATTCTATCACAAGCCCTTAGACAAACAAAGGAATGTGTAAAAAAAAAAGTTTTGTCTTGATGAATTTTCAGTCTAATTGTGGATAAAATTACACTTATTCATTGTTTTTTGAATGGTTGCGCTTTAGGTATTTTACATATCTTAAATTTTCAAAACAACTGTGATCTTGTTAATATTATTAGCATCCCAATTTATGTGCAAAGGGAACTAAGGCAGGATTCAAACTCAGGGAAGTGACTCTAACATCCTCTTCCTATGATCCAGCAGTTTGCCTCCAACAAAAATCATCACCAGCCTGAGGAGACAAATTCAAATGCCAAGATATGCGTTGCAACCCATGAGAACTCCAAATCACTCTGCCCCTGAGCAGGTCAGAGAAGGGACCCTGACCCAGGAACCAGGGGACCTGCGTTCTGATTCCAATTACTAACTCTGTAGCCTTGGGCAAGTCATTGCTCTCACCTCGGGTTGCTCAGCTGTGTAAAGAGAATGATAGAAGCTGGGCTGCCAACTTTACAGGGTTCCAGTCAGACTCAAATGCAATCTTGGTTGGAAAAGTGACTTTCTTCAAATGTTTTGAGCAAATGGAAGGCATTATGTAGCGTGTGCTGGCCTGCCATTTAACAGGCCCAGACTTTGTGAGCCATGCGGGCCTCATGCCTGGGGTCAGTATGGGCAGAGTGCATGCTACATGTGCTCCTGGGCTCCTGGGCTGGGCCCAGTAGAAAACAGCCTGGAGGGGAACAGTGAACAGCTGCTACAAAGGACAAAGACTGGAATCCAACCAACAGGAGCCAATGAGAAAGTGCAGGAAATGTCAGAGACAGATTGCTTTCCCTTGGCTTGTTCAGAAGGCATGTTTTCACAGGTAGCATAGGTTCTAGGGCGGAATCTGGCAGAAGGAAGGCACACAATGGCTGCTGGCCTACAATCTGTTGCAGCAGGTGGATTCAATGGACTGGCATGTGATCCTGGAGGGAGCATGGGGTTGGGGTCAAGGTGTCCTCTCAGTGACCTTGAGCCAGTGTAGTTCTTTAACCTTTGTTTTTCATATGTAATGGAATCATTTATCACATTTGGTCATCTTAAGGGTGCAATGAGTTAATATTTTTATCCACAATAAAAACACTTTCTAAATGCTAGCAATTTGACTATTTCCACCTGCCTCCACTCTGCTATAAAACTTATTTTATAAGCAATTAAAATTATCAGGGCATCTGGGTGACTCAGTTCATTGAACATCCAACTCTTGATTTTGGCTCAGGTCATGATCTCAGGGTCCTGGGATTCCTCCTCAGTGGGAAGGCTGCTTGAGGATTCTCTCCCTTTCCTTCTTCCTCTACCCCTCCCCTGCCATGCTCACTCTCTCTCTCAAATAAATAAATCTTTTTAAAAAGTAGAAAATTATTGCCTCCATTCTGTTCTCATGACAGTAAATGATAAATGAGATGGTACATGTAAAGTGCTTTGAGCTCCCCAAAAGAAAGAGAATATTTTCCCAGATTAAAGAGCCTGAGAATAATTCCGCTTAAAGTAAAGAAAGCACTAGTGGGGAAAATGGAAGAAAGAAAAATATCAGGATCTTGGAAGTGGTATTAACCACAGGTAATAAGCATCCCTTCTGCTGTTTCTATGAAGTGGGGATGGTGGGAGGGTGGCCTTCTTCACAGTAGGACAGGAGACACAGATGTCGGAGAGACTCCCTGACATCGGCGCTGTGAGTCCCAAGGGAGGTCATAGAATCTTATAGCCAAGTAATTTCACAACAACCGACAACCCATAGATGGTTTGGGCATTCAATTATTAATCAAGAATTTACTAAAGCACAGTGATCAAATGAACCAGATTGTATCGGAAATGTCTAATTAATTAGGAGGGGGAAAAGCACACACCTTCCATTAGTGTAAAAGCAAATCTTTCACCAGTCTGTGAATTCCTTGTGCTGCTTATCTGTATGCCTCAGTGTTTCCTCTTTCCTTTTTTAGTGACTTTTGACCTTCGTGTATACTTTTATATTAGCAATACACAAAATGACTGATTGAATAGCTTAAAGGGTTATATAAAATAGGTCAAGTAAGAGGCAGCTGGGTGGTGAAGTCAGTTAAGCATCTGCCTTTAGCTCAGGTCATGATCTCAGGGTCTTGAGATTGAGCCCCACAAGGGGCTCCCTGCTCAGCAGGGAGTCTGCTTCTTCCTCTCCCTCTGTTCCTCTGCTGCTCCCCTCCCCTGCTTGTGTTCTCTTTCTCTGTCTCTCTCAAATAAATAAAATCTAAAAAAAAAAAAAAATAGGACAGGTAAGTCTCCCTCTCCCCACTGTGACCAACTCCCCTCCGCAGGTTTGTGTTAATTTCTAAAGACACAATACTTAGCTACTGTCTACGTCTAACAAAACAAAATCATTTCTACCAAAAAACATCTGAAATCAGTTCAACTCATTTTTCATCTTCTCAGTCATTTTAATCACTCCCAACTAGTATCAGTGTATTCTCTGAGCCTTATGCCAGTAGATATTTGAGGGAAAAGTTTTACAAGTCAGGCTGCCTGCTTCATAGGCAGAGTACCACACGCTGTACCACCCACAACTCACCACAGCTGGCTCACACTGTTTATGTCATGGTCCAGAGGACATCTCTTTGAGGGTTCCTTTTGGGGGAAGGTACTGTTAAATATCCATTGAATAAAATGAGCAACACTTTGGATGCATCAAATGTATCCAGATTTAGTTCAGATTTGTGTCATTGTCATTGGACTGCAATTTGGTTTCCAAAATCTTGACTCCTGAATCCTACTCTATCCCCTTGAGTTCTGGAACCTGAATGGTATTTGCAGAGAACTTTGGTCCCTCCTCTCATCTCCTCTCACCATCCACTGAGCACTGGAAGAGATATGCATAGCTGGCTCTGCATGTGCATGTGTATCTTGCAACAGCTTTAAGGACCTTTGATACCCACACAGCAAAGCCACCAAAAATTATCAGTTAAGTCTGTACAACAATAAGGGCAAAGCATTATTCCCATAAGGAGTTTCCTTTAATTAAACAGAGACTGTGGTTACTCTTTCATTCCTTTCGTTTGATTGAGATTGACTCAGCTGGCATTCTTCTGTATCCTCAGTGTAATTTTGACACATTCTTCTAAAATAGGAGGCCTTGTCTCTTTCACTACTCATCCCCGTCTCTCTCCAGAACCCCCTATGCACGTGCAAGTGAAGGGGCCCTCATCTGAATCATAGCTAATTGATCAACTGTGGATTGTGGTCTAGCTTGCCACAAACCTAATCTTTAAAATCACTCCAGTAGCTTCATGTTGCCAAGGAGTTCCCAACTAGCTCAATCTGCTACTGAGCAGACCTTTAAGCTCCACAGAAAATAAAAAAAATAAAATAAAATAATAAAATAAAATAAATAAAATAAAATAAAATAAAAAGCTCCATGGAGAGGAATCACCAACTGATACCAAGCTGGGTACCTCTTAAAGTCCCCAGCAAACATGTTGGGTGGATGGATGCATGGGTGCATGGATGCATGGATGTCCATGCACTTGGTCAGACCCATCAAGACAGTATAGCTGGACAGCCTGTCTTTCATACATTTTTCCTGAGAAGTTTTAAAAGACCAGAATACTAGAATTTGGAAAGAGCCCCTGAGTTCATCTATTCCAATCCTTGGTCTGATATAGGAATCTTTTTTATAACCTCCTCTGTTAGCCGTCTCCAAAGTTTATGAGCCAAACTCAGCGTCAATGATCTATCTAGCTTTTCCCCCTCTCAACTTTTTTGCCTTTGTTTCTGCACATTTTTGGACTCTGGATAGGAGAAGTCAGAGGGGCTGCTATTGTGGGAAGAGGGATTATAGTTAAGACAAATTATTTTTGTTGGGAGAAACAAATAAATGCTAATTAGGGAAGTAGCAGAATCTTCTCCCTGGGTTAAACACACATGCACACACGCACACACACACACACACACACACACAAATAATGGCTTCTGGGCAAGAAGCTAGGAGGCTAGATTAGTCCTCTGGTCTCCCCCAAAGCCTCCCCAGGTCCCTTGGAGGTGGGTAGACAGAGGAGCTCTCCATCCTTCCCAGCCTGAATGAAGCGCCTACTCACTGTAGATGGTCTGATGAGGTGTGCCATCCACATGGCCGTCCTTGTGGATCTGCAGGTGGTAGCTGTTCCTGGCTGTGGCCGTATACAGGTGGGTTAGGCTACCCCAGCTGGAGCCGAGCAGCGGGGAGGTGTTGGGATAGGCTCTGACTACCCAGCACAGGACAGAGACCAGGAATCCAAGGCGGGTGCCAGACATCACAGCTCTTTGAATGGCTGGCTGGAGTTTGAAACCTGACACTGCCTCCCTGATTCCCTGGCTGTGCCTCACAGGCCTTTTTCTCCTCTTCTTTGTGGGTATCTTGCGTGAAAGTCCCAGGCTAGATTCCCTCCTTTTTTCCCCCAGACTTTTAAAGGGTGGCCCTGTGACATCAAACAGGAAAAACTCCACTGTCCACATCCTCTGTGTTGTAACCAGCCCATTGGAAGAGAATGCAGAGCCCTCTTAGGCTCACGGAAGGCACGTCGTTCCAGACACACACACACACACCCCTCAATTTCAGGCCAGCGCTCCAAAAAGTGAATAATGTGTGGGCAAAAGTTATCTACAACTCTGGGTTGTCTGTTGACCTGTCCCACTTCCACCAGGAAATGTGAAGGCAGCCAGCAGTTTTGAAAAAAAAAAAAAATCCAGCTTCAGTCATGCAGTCAACAGACTCCTGTGCAATTAATCTCCCTTTGAGTCTACTCATTTTGGTTTTCTCCGTCCTTTTGATTCCAATCAGCAACCGTGTATCCAGTTCTTTCTCTGTGCACAGTACCAGGTGGGTGTTTTGAAGGTACAGAAAAAGTACAGGACACCATCAGGCAGAGGGCACCCTTGGAAATCCCTCCTCATGAAGATATGGGAGCTGGAAACAGAGGTACAGAAGCCAGAGTTGCTACCCTGGAAAGATTTCAAAATAGGAAGAAAGAAAACCAGGCCTTGAAGTCCCTGCTGCTTTATGAAATTCTGAGGTTTGATTTCTCATTTTTCCTAGTTTGGACTACCTAAGAGCAAAATAACTGGTATTATGGTCTCTCCAACAGTATGGAGACTAATTCAGAGACCTCGTGAAGATGGGAAAGCTGGTGGCTGAGCACAGGGGAGCAGATCCTGGGAAGGTCCCAGGGGCAGAGTGGCAGGCCAGGGTGTCCCCACAGCTCATGTCTCCTGGGTGTCTGGCTCCTGGGACTAGACACTTCCTTGTAGACCCTGCTCACAGGTATGCCCTCGGGGAAAGTACATTTGATGTGGGGTGATAGTGCCAGCACCTGCAGTCTAATGGGGAAGCAAACAACTGGAATGCATACCAGAAAAATACACACAAAGAGACTGCTCCTCCTCCAATCTTCCATTTACTGAGTGCATGCAGGCATCAGGCTAGACGTCATGGTTGATAGAAGAGAGAGTGAGGTGTGACCTCTGCTTCAAGGACGTCATAAGCTAATGGAGAAAGGAGAAACAAGAAGTAACCATTGCAAAAAACGTAATGGAATGTACAATCATACAGATGCAGACAAAAGATGCCATTAGTGATTCTATATTTGTGCAAGTTTTTATAATTTATAAAGCTTCCATAATGCTAATTTTTACATATATTAGTTCCTTTGAATCTCACTGCAACCCCGTGAGATTGCATTATCAATATTTTTATTTTATATATGAAGAAATGGCAATCATGGGTTCATATGTCCAAAGTCACAAAGCAGTTAAATGAGAGATCTAGGACAAGGTCTTCTGGCTCCCTAGGATGTTTCTCCTAATCACATAATCACAGGGACAACTGACACTTACTGAGAGCTTCCTAAATGCTTTACTTGTAGTAACTCACTTCATCGTTATAATAACCCTTTGAGGAGATACTGCAACCTCCTTTACACAGATGAGGAAACTGATGTGCACAGTGCCCCAAGATGTACAGCCAATATGTGGATTGATGTTGGATTTGAATCGGGGCAATCTGACCCCCAGACCTCCTAAGAACTCACACCACACGTTAGGGCAAAAGAGATGGGAGCCAGGAACTTGGTAAGAGAGTGCAAGTAGCAATGAGGCATAGTAGTCTCCAGTGTTTCTCTAGCAAACACAGTCCTATACCCAGGATGTGTCTCTTAAATATGAGGTGCTGTCTCCCCAGGTTAGGTAGTAGATGATCAAGGACATACAAGATAGTCTTCTTTAATAATGATCACAGAATGATTCATAAACACATTACCATATCTGAGCATTCAGAGTTGAAATACACATCATTCAGGAACATTTGCCAGTAGATAACCACGTTTCCTTTTCTGATTGCAAAAGGTACAAGTGGGAAGTACCTGTGAAACAATCAGCAGGTATCAAGAAACTTCTCTGTGCAAGAGAGAAGGGAGGGGGAGTTCCAGGAATAAAAAGCAAAACAAACATCCTTGAAGGGCTTATACTATAATTGAGCAGAGGAAAACCTTGTTAAATACAAAGCATTGTGTGAGAAGAGCTAAATTCCTAGAATGTGCAAGTAATGCTAACAGCAGGGGCCTGAGTGGCTCAGTTGGCTAAGCTTCTGCCTTTGACTCAGGTCATGATCTCTGGGTTCTGGGATTGAGCCCCACATCAGGCTCCCTGCTCAGTGGGGAATCTGCTTCTCTCTCTCTCCCTCTGCTCATCCCTCTGCTCATGCCCTCTCTCAAATATATAAATAAAATATTTTTAAATAAGAAATGCTAATGGAATTCAGAAGAGGATGAGAGCACAGTGGGCAGATGCTGTGGTCAAAGAGGGCTTTGAGGGAAGCGAGATTTGAAGGGGCCTTATAGGAGGGACAGGGAAAGGCATTTCCTAGCACCTGCCAGAGCATGGTGGGAAGGCAGTGCAGGTGTCTCAGGAAGAGTACATGGTTATTCATTTGTCCTTGTGGTGATTACAAAGGGGCTTCACTAGCTGCTTCAACTTATTAGTTATGAGACTTGATGGGCCAACTTAATCCATTTCCAGACTTCCCTCCAAGAAGAAGCCCTGAACACCTAGCAACTGTATCTGAAGGCTGTATCTAGACAGCCTGGGACAGTAGGTTTACTTCTGAGGGGAATGGAGGCAGTGCAGGGAGGAGAAGCATTCTCCACTTGGTGAAAGCAAAGGAGAGTACAAGAATCTCAGAATAATTCTTTCTACTGAGATATTGAAAAATTTGAGTAGAGGAGGAGATTTTCTCATTAGTATGCACAGATGGCAGAACTTCCGGCTCCCGGCTGATGACCCTACCACTGGATTCCAAAACTGGCTGCCCATTAGAATCACCATAACTACCCTAGCACTAACCTTAGACCTACTGAATGTGCAGCCTAACTATTTGTACTGTGCCCCAAAGCTACCCGGGAGATCCTAACACCCATGATGATGTTAATGACACTCAAGAACTTTTCAAGAAATAAGAGGTTGAAAAGAAGATTCCTGTATCAGACCAAGGATTGGAATAGATGAACTCAGGGACTCTTTCCAAATTCTAGTATTCTGATCTTTTAAAACTTCTCAGGAAAAATGTATGAAAGACAGGCTGTCCAGCTATACTGTCTTGATGGGTCTGACCAAGTGCATGGACATCCATGCATCCATGTACCCATGCATCCATCCACCCAACATGTTTGCTGGGGACTTTAAGAGGTACCCAGCTTGGTATCAGTTGGTGATTCCTCTCCATGGAGCTTTTTATTTTATTTTATTTATTTATTTTATTTTATTATTTTATTTTATTTTTTTATTTTCTGTGGAGCTTAAAGGTCTGCTCAGTAGCAGATTGAGCTAGTTGGGAACTCCTTGGCAACATGAAGCTACTGGAGTGATTTTAAAGATTAGGTTTGTGGCAAGCTAGACCACAATCCACAGTTGATCAATTAGCTATGATTCAGATGAGGGCCCCTTCACTTGCACGTGCATAGGGGGTTCTGGAGAGAGACGGGGATGAGTAGTGAAAGAGACAAGGCCTCCTATTTTAGAAGAATGTGTCAAAATTACACTGAGGATACAGAAGAATGCCAGCTGAGTCAATCTCAATCAAACGAAAGGAATGAAAGAGTAACCACAGTCTCTGTTTAATTAAAGGAAACTCCTTATGGGAATAATGCTTTGCCCTTATTGTTGTACAGACTTAACTGATAATTTTTGGTGGCTTTGCTGTGTGGGTATCAAAGGTCCTTAAAGCTGTTGCAAGATACACATGCACATGCAGAGCCAGCTATGCATATCTCTTCCAGTGCTCAGTGGATGGTGAGAGAGATGAGAGGAGGGACCAAAGTTCTCTGCAAATACCATTCAGGTTCCAGAACTCAAGGGGATAGAGTAGGATTCAGGAGTCAAGATTTTGGAAACCAAATTGCAGTCCAATGACAATGACACAAATCTGAACTAAATCTGGATACATTTGATGCATCCAAAGCATTGCTTTGAATCCGATTTTAATCCTGGAATTAGTACACAGAGACCAAGCCCCCTTCAGTGGCCTGCTCAATTTTCCATTTCCTTTCAGGATTTCTAGCCTAACTATACAGTGTAAGATGTAAATGGGTCTCTCTAGGGAATTTTATTTTATTTTTTAAAAAAGATTTTATTTATTCATGAGAGACACAGAGAGAAGACGGAGACATAGGCAGAGGGAGAAGCAGGCTTCTCACAGGGAGCCTGATGTAGGACTTAATCCCGGATCCTGGGATCATGACCTGAGCCGAAAGCAGACACTCAACCGCTGAGCCACCCAGGTGTACCTCGCTAGGGAATTTTAGTAATGAACTCTAAATCGGTACACTGTGCCCCTGAGCAGGCTTTTCCTAGAGCCTGGTGTCTGTGGCATCTCCTTAGAACCTTCAGAGGGTGAAAGGAGAGTCCAGGATAAGTTGATTCCTGCTCTTTGCACCTAGAGGAGACTCAGCTGTCACAATTCTGAGCAGAGAATCTGGGAGCTACTGTGACCTTAGGAGCCAAAAGTGAAATACTCATAATGGATGGGAGCAGGAGGCTCAGCGGGGAGGCCAGTGCTTTGTGATTTTGAGTATCACTGTCCTTGGTTCCCAGGTAGCTGCCTGGGAAGAAGCAGGTGGGGGGCACACCTACTCTTCTCCAGCCTGTTCTGGAAGCCCATGTTCCAGTAGGACTTGCCCCAGGGACTGTGTGCAGGCCCTCTGGTCAGGTCCTTACATTTATAACCAGAGGATCAAGGCTCTAAATATGGATTGGGGACTATACTC